CTTTCGCAATCAAATCACTCAAAAATATCGTCCATTTCGAAGTCAATACGTGCAGCATTTAACGAAATAATGACAAAATAATCTGATCTAGAATACAATGAAGTTTGAGAGAAACTTTTAAAATGGAATTCAAAATAAACTTAATTTTTACCGTTACTTTTTCTCTGAATGTGCACACATATTTAAGCACTTACATACACTCGTATGCATGCAAATATGAAATATATAATATTATTTCACGTTTACCAATCGATTTAAAAATATTTAATGCAATCAAAGGCACGTGTGAGTAAAGCTCAAACGTGTGTAAGTAAATATAAAATAATTAATAGCATTGACAATTTTCACGAATTTCGCGAATTTAATTTTGCACGAGTGTGTGTGTGGCTCATCGCTTTAATCACATATAAATATTTGAGTAAGGATTATGTCGTTAAAGTGGATATACACGTACATATTTACCTATGTAAGTGCTTGATTCGGTTCACACAAGCTCGAAATGATATACATACATATAAGTATAATATGTAAGTGTTAGTAACATGTTTATATAACAATGTAAATACATATGTAAGAGTGTTTTTGTTGTATAATATTTGTGCGTGTATATCAGATTTCGACTTTAACAAATCACTTTCAGGCGCACACAAATCTACATACTAACTGTCATCCGTTCTATTGCATAATGCACGGTACATAATAAATGTCGAACATAAATGTTAATAACGGTAGTGCAGTAGCAAAACAAAAACAAACGGCCAATCGTTAAAGCCAAAGCAATTAAAAATGAAATTGACCATTGCAAACGTGATGAAACGCGAAAGACGCGTTATAAATTCACAGCGCGGCACAGTGGTCTGACATTACAGTCGAAGTGATTAGCGTACGAGAGTGACGAAAGTCGTGAAATGGTAAACGAATTCGCATTCTTTCTCAATAATAAACTTCTAACTAAAGTTTTTCCCGAACTGAGTAGGTTTACAGTTACAAATGAGTAGAAAGTATAGGAACTAATTGGCTTGTCAAAAATGTTGGACCTCCCGATAGTATTCGCGCATATTTTATTTAATTTAAATTTAAGAAAATCGTAGTAATATGAATTTACTCGTATTTTTTATATCGTTCTCATGTTTAGGTATTTCAGCAGACACGTTTTTTAACAAACCGAAATGTCAATTTGCGCTCTGAATCAATAATCAAACTTTCAAATTCGTTTTAACTGTAAGACTGCGTTCACACACGGACTCTTTTGTCGCCCAAACCGGTTTTTGCAATTGCAAAAGAGAATTTGCTGATAATGAACGAGAAAAGAGTTCGTGTGTAAATCCAGTGAAATGTAGTAGTAGAGCATTAATCAGAATTGAAAAGAGAACGAGGCGATGTTATTGAAATAAAAGTGACTTCGAAGGCCGATACATTCAATGTTTTAATATAATAAATACTTATAGGAGGCTGCAAAATGTGAGTAAATATTATACTCCTATATTTGAGTATATTTACAATATTACAAGCACCTCTCTATAAAGAAATATTTCTACAATATTCTGCCCTAGCAAAGCACAGCTATGTTTGTGACATCGAACGACTACTAATCGACCAATACATATAGCGACGATGAACTGACAAAAGCCATAGATGGTCTTTCTTATACTCTGAACAGGGTATATTAATGCCACTATAGGATATATAGATCGATCAAACTCAAGTCTCTAAAAGGAAAACATATTTAATTTGACAAGGTAAATTATATCCCAAGGTAACGGCACATTCTCAAAATATATTGTTCAAATCAGATATCTATAGCTTATAGCTGCAAGCAAACTTATGGATCAAAATCAAGATAAAGGTCTTTTTATACCTTTCTGTGCTATAAGAATTGCACCTGTGAAGGGTATGATAGCTTCGCTGCGCTAAACTTAACGTTTTTATTTGTTGCTGTAAAATCTTGTCAAATCTCCACATTGAGAATTTAAGTTTGTTTTAAGTGCCATTGTCGTTATCTACATCAACTACCATATGGTCAGTTCCTTAAGGATTAGAAATATACCGAGCAAGAGATCAACAACTATCCTGAAGTACTTTGCCAAATCCATCTTCGAAGAGATATTCAATGAATGTAAAAATGTAACGACATTCACCATCAATTTATAAAGTGCCTTTAAAATTGATGGAACTTACAATTGTGAAGTCTATGAAAACAGTTACAGTTAGTTGCAGTAATATCTAAAACTGCAGCGAAACTAAAATCAAGTCTTGGGACAAACTGACCGATCAAAATCAAGTTCTTCTATATGCAACTTTTTGATTTGTGAAGACTATTATAGCTTCGGTGCAACCGAAATTTACGTATATTTTTGTTTTTGAATATTTTTGGGACATATTTTAAATTGATTGCCTTTGACCAAATATTAGTCGCAGTCCTTTTTAAAGCCCTAACATCAATGATGAGACCGGTTGGAGTTTACACTAGCCGAGAATACGAATGATGAAGACTTGATTTGCTTGACCAAAAGGCATCAACGCAAAGCTGAAATTCTAAAAGCTTGACGAAGTCTACGAAACTAATGTATGGTCAAGGAATCTCTTGATTGCTTTAATCTGAGTATCAAACCACCAAACACATTTCGGGTATGAATAAGTATCTCAAAAGAAAAAATCAGCCGCTTGTAATTAGCATGAAACTGGTATTTATTTGCATGTAGTCACATAAAAGTTCTTGAACCTTACAGTTTGTTTTATAAATAATTAAGCCACTGAAATGACAACTGTGCCACTACGTGACCATTCGTTTAATCAATTTATATTAAGCGCATATAAAGCAGCAAATACTAGTGGCGCTTAGACTCAGGTGGTCACACAAGATTACACACATACATGTATACTCGTATGAAACAAATACACCCACTATTTATTTTCACAGGAAATGGCGAGTCTGCGACCACTGTGCACGCTACCCCCGGGCACAAACCATCTGCTATACCTACATGCACATGTATACATACATATACTCGTTTATTCATACAGCGATGGACGTGCAAACAAACAGGAGCAAATAAAAATACTTTAAGCATACAAGAGAAAGCGAACGTAACATCGTTAATGGCCACAGTTATAGGAGCAAAATCAGAATGTACGCGGATACACATATGTATGTACTATATGTTGGTAATGGAAGGAAGGCAAGGAAACGCTAAAAAAACGGTTACAACGTAACAAAACGTAGCAACAAAAGCAATTAACTTGTTTACTTTAGTAGAGAGAAGAGAGAAGTCTCATTTATTTAACTTAGTTAATTGCTTCATCATGAAGAACCTGGCACAGTTCGTTGACAGCGCCGCAAGCGTAACGGTGTTTATGGGCGAGCACACGCCTACACACACACACACCCACACACACCTATAAATATATGTATATATGCAATATGCATAAGTCCACACCTACATACATACAGACATTTTATATTGAATGCTCCAAGCAGCAATTTTAATTGTGCCGAAGTGCGAGCTAAACGCAATTTTCCGCGCCCCGTTACCCAATAGCAATGTGGTCAGTGGAAATTGTTAAAAGACGTTGAGGTAAATTTGAAAAATTACAATCTGTTTTTCGCTGCATACATACACCCACGCACAGAGAGAGAGTGAAGTCAAAAAGAAAGGATTATATAATTATGTTTGTTGGTAGGTTTGTAAGGAGAAACTTATATATGGTATATGTCTGCAAGCAGCTACGTGGGCGGTCCGATAAGTGCTTAGCTCAAAGAAAAATTTTAATCCTTAGCAGTGTTCTTTTTTAACTCTATACATTTGATTGAAAGATGCTTTCACATTTTTGTTCTGTATAAAGATTCTATTTATTGGTGGCCTACGAATTAGGCGAAGTGGTGGCGATAACCTCCTTAATCGACTGAAATTTCCTCTCGACCTTGCCGACGGCAAAGATGTGAGCTGATGCGATGTGTGTGTGGGTTTGATCGCTAAGTGAGATCTTATCCAGAAATTCAGCTTTAAATCGCCCCAATAATTCGGCTTAGTAGCGCCCAGTGATCCTTTTGCGTTTTTACGGGTAGTCAACGTAGATCACACCTTGTGCATAGCAGAAAACATGATGGTCGCCTTTCCGGTCGATAGGATAGGTTCTTCGACAGATTCGCTGATGAAATTTACAGTTTCGACTATTCCTTGGTCTCTTGTGAGCACCAGTGGAGCTCCATATTTTGACGTTTACGAAACGCCAAAAAATTCGTATGAATTGCACTTAATCAGCAACAAACAGTGGCTCCAAGGTCGTGCTTATTGTCTGGCTTGAGCAAACGTGGTAACCATCTCGTCGACAGTTTTCTCATGCGTAATATTTCATGCAGTAAAGAACCCATTACGACTTTTAAGATGCCTATGGTCTCAGCTATCTCACGTCACTTCAATTGGCGGTTTCCAATATGAGATCGTGAACTTTTGTTATGTTGTCTTCGGTGTTAATCGTTTTCGGTGTGTCTCGGCGTAGCTAATCAAAAACCGGCATGTGACCACATTGATACCTTCTAAACCAATTTCGACCGCCGCCATCAAAATAGAAAGGTCACTGTATACAGCGACCAGCGCTATTTGATTTCACTGTTCGAACCCTCTTTCAAAAACAATTATCGAATTAATGACCAATATAGTTTTTATTCCATTTTTTCCAGCTTCCACACGCGGGTAAAACGTCCGTTTAGTTTGAAACTAGTAGTCGTCTTCGAAAATGTATGTCTGTTGCTATATTGACGGACGCCAACGAGCGGTAAGGCTACGTACCTATCTGATCGCCCTCTTACATATTATATTTGTATGAAAGAGCTCAAGGACTTTGTGGCTGCCACAATTTGCATACACAGACAATCCAAAAAAAGTTGTAAAATTGAATAAAACAAATTTCTACTATACACAGCCAAACATGTTATAAATAAATAAAGCTACAAGCATATTTCAAATATAATAAATCGCTTATTGAGTGATTGAACTTACGATTAGCTGTTGTGAAGAACGGCAGCGGCAGAGCAGAGAGCAAGCAAAAGACGAAGCAAGCCATGCGCGATATGTAGGACGTGGTGCCGAGTCTGGAGGACGTCCAACTGCTGGGAGCGCTTGATAGCGTGCCTTTTACAGCCATTTTATTAACAAATATGATAGTATGAGAGTAGTTGCTGGCTGCTGTACCGTTATGCGGTATCCTTATATATGTAAGTATATGTGTATGCGCGAGTTGTAGCCTTTGGTTATGCCAGCAAAGGGTGTAGCCCGTGTCGGAAGCACATTGAGCAATTGATTGGTCCTTCTTCAGAAGTACTTCCCGTCGCACGGTTTCCAAGAACTAAGAAAAACAATGAAAAGACGCAGACTTAGTTATAAACGCATTGAAAAGCAAACAATTAATAATTCAAATGGTTTTGCTACAGCGGGAAGAAAAAGTTTACAATTATTTGTTAGTTGAAGTTTTTGGTATTCTCTCTCTTTGTGTCAATAAAATATTACACAAAAGTCTAAGCTGTGTTTGTGTGAAAGATGAAGTAGAATGCTACAGACTGTAAAGTTGTTTGTGTTGGTGTGCACATCCGCCAGCTTCAGTTTGCGTCCCCTCAAGGGCATTTGGAAAGTTGAATATGCCGTCCTTCACTTTCGGTGTTCGCAAGTGATGTGTTAATTCGTGAGCAACTAACACCAAAAGGAAACTACAAACCGTGAAATCGTTAACAACGAATTCGTCAAACAAACCCACACGTGGGTGTGATTATGCCTTTAAAGCGAGAACCTTTTCGTTTGCTTTTAACCATCAGCAGTGTGTGAAATTAAAGCAAATTATTGCTGAACCAAAAAAAAAATTTCAATGTTTCGTGCCAAATAGATGTTAACTCGAAATATCTTTCATATACGGTACCGAAATAAGATTAGAATCAAGAATGACAGCGACTAGATTGTGATACGCAACGTCAAAAACAAAATTCAATATTCGTTATTCGACTCATCATGAATGGATATTGTAATCACGTGGTTTTATATCCGAGATATTTATTAATATGTATTAAAATCAATGCAACTAACACTAATTAATCTCTATATTCAAGATATAAGTACTGTTTCAAGGTTAATATCGTTATGCATATTCATATATATAATATATCGATCTGAAAGTTTACACACGTCTTTTTTACCTCAAGAAAGTGCTCATATATCGGAATTGCCGATATCGGACCACTATAGGATATAGCTTCCGTACAAACTGAACAAAGTTTATGTATAGAAAAATGTTTTATTTTATAAGATATCTTCGAAATTTGCTACAGATTATTGGCCAAGGCAACCAATAGCTAAATCTATAATAATCTAATTCACTCTGGACGAATATTTTTAGAGCCCCTACCGGCGGTGGAAAAATCAGTGAATACTCATTCCCCATACCCGTTTTTTTTCAAAACTACTAAAAAAGATAGATAACTATAAATAACTGCGTCAGAGACAAGAAACTTTACACCTGAGATGGTATGAGAACGCCTTATAGGAGTAGGTGTCAAAATTGGACGATTGGCATGTTATTACCCACAGTTAGAAACCCGGGACCTACTCGACGAATTTGAATCAAATTCGGTAGGTAATGTTACCTTTTATCGATGTATTCTTACATCGCAGTGGGAAAATGGACGAAATCAGTCAAAAACCACGCCTACTTCCCTTATAACACAATTTTAAATTCCATCTGATTTTTACAGTTTCCAGTCTGCAAATCAATCACCAAATTTGTCAGGATAAAATTTTGCACGAATAGTAAGTTTAAAGTTTGCCACCGAATGACGAAATACTGTGAAAATTGGACTACACCTGTTCTAGCCTTCAGATACCGAATAATTGGACCCCAGCTCCAACTGCGAAATATATTATTGGAATTCGGAGTAAATTTTTTTCTAATAAAAGTATGACTGTATGTTTAAAATGGGTTGAATCGGTTGAATACTTTCCATAGCCCCATATACCTAATGAAAAGATTCTCGAACTTTCGGTTCACGTTATACCCCACATATCGGCCAATATGTCAGTTTTTCTAAAAAACCTTTTGTCGGATATGTCGGCCAGTGTGTGAGTTATATATTTATAAAATTGTTTGAAATATGTTCTCGAGTATACCTGAGCAATGTCAAAAGTTGGTGCAATCACCCCAGACATTTTGTGCCCCCAATATACCCTATACAGGGATTTCCGACTTTTCATCTGTCTTTAAGCCGTTTAAGTTGGTCAAAATGTGTGATAAGTGGGATAATGACATTAAGTGGAGAAGCTATCTTAAAAATTATGTGTTTTAACGCTTGATATTAATAGAATTGGTTTGGTTCTTGGTCAAAACTTCCTATCCCTAAATTAAGGAATTCCGATACTCTGGTTGACGATTTGAACGTCAACTCAATATATTAAATTTAGCATCTTCGGTTGAATTTATGTCACATATATCTTATTTGAATATGATTTTAATATAATTTTTGCTGACGGAATTTACTTATAAAACTAATTTAGTTTAGTAGACCTGTAATCAGGGTTGCGAATGTTTAAATTAAAACTTTTGGTATTAGAAATTAAATTTTTATTTATTAATTCAAGATGTTGAGATTAAAAATAAAATTATAATTTTTAATTGGCTTTCAAACCAAAAAGCTAAACCACCCAAATTTGCACAGAACCAACTTTTTCAAGCTTTTTAACGACAAAGTGAAAATACGTGAAATCGGATTATAACCTTGCCCACTCCTCATATAATAGTTTTGTGAAAAACTATTAAAAGTGTGTTAGATCAATAACTAAATGCGTCAGGGACATCAAATTTTACATAAAGGATGGCACAAGACGACTTCGTAGATCAAAATCGGACGGTGAGCGTGGCTTCGCCCACTTTTAGGTGAAATCACATATTTTGGGATCTGCTCGACCGACTTCAATCAAATTCATTATATAATATTCTTACAATGTTCCCATGTTACAGAGCGAAAATAGAGGAAACTGGATTGCAACCACGCCTACTTACCGTATAACACAATTTTAGATTCCATCTGACTTTTTCTCATACCAGTATACAAATCAAGCACCAATAAATATATCGGCATTAAACCTTGCACGAATAGTACCTCGGAAATGTGCCACCTTATGACTAAAAATTGTTTAAATCGAACCAAATCGAAGTTTTTAATATAAAGTTTTTTAACTCCTTAAGGTATTGCAAGTAGTAAGAGTATAAAATGTTCGATTACGCCCGAAATTAGCCCTTCATGACTTGTCAACACTTGAGGTATTTCCAAGGCTTTGAACCTTGCAAAATGCAAAAGTATGAAATGTCGGTTCCACTCGAACTTGGCGCTTCCTTACTTGTTATATACGTATATTACTCAATTTCTATTTCTATTAGTTGTAAGTGCTACAAACAACCGTTAGGTTAAATTGTATTGTATATTAATTTTTGATAGTAATTTGTCATTTGAGCTATACCCAATAGTAAAACTGGTCGAAATGTGTAAAAAATAGGTGGTAGCCTTGAAAATAGCAAAATATATGATTGAAATAGCTTAATATAAAACTCAAAAAAAGTTTTAATTTCGATGTAATAACATATACCAAAGAGATACCATACTCTCTTTCTTCTGTTATCACGTTCCTATTTAATGTTTCAAAACCGAAATGTCATTCAAAACAATTTAATTACGATATGACATATATAAATATTTTAATTTTTACACTTAAAGTCAGTCAGGATACATTTCTTTGAAATTTTTTACAATTCCATTTAATATTTTATAATTAGAATGTCAAACGGTATTTCTTTTGCGACGCAACATAAAAAATGCAGTATGCATATGTATAATATAAAACAATTACACAGAATAATATAATTATATGACTATAAAACAAGAAATGAGATGGATGTTGTAATATATGTATTCATGTGGAAAGGAGTAATTGTTTGTTATAAATAGTGTTGTCACGGGTAGGAAGTACATTTATGCAGTTGGTACTTAATACATAGTATAGTATAGGATTTCGAGAGATGACTTTTCTTTTTATATATTATTTTTAAGTATCTATTATTATATTGCTCCAATAAATATAAATTAAATTCTCTCAAATTATCATATATGATAACATAGGACGGAAAAGATACATTGCGTATTAAGACTTGACAGACTAAAAACAGGCAGTCCGAACTCAACCGTAGGCTTCTTATGTGCTTGAGGTATACGGCTTATATAACTACACCCAAAGTATGGATATACATTCGCATGGGAAAACATCTTTCACTACTACTAAAAATTAAATGTTTAAATTTATTTAAGATTATAAAAAAGGACTTTCACACACGGAGCTGCTTTCAAAGCTAGAACGGTATTTTCAGGTCCCTATTAAGGCATTTCCTTTCAACTAAAGAAATCCCGATTATTTTTCCATTATACTTGGGATTTATTGTTGCCTGTTATTAACAGTTTTCATAATTTTTTGAGGCTTCGCCTTAATTATACCCTAAACAGGGTATGTTAAGTTGTCACGAAGTACCCAGAAAGAGGGCGAGTGTGACGAGCTGAGTTGATTTAACCAAGTCCGTCTGTGTGTACAGACGTGAACTAACTGCTCAAAAACAAAGTTCTTGTATGAAGACCTTTTTTATTTGATAAGATATCTTCTCGAAATTTTACTCAGAATATTGCTCATGGCAACAAATTTTTCTAGATCAGATCACTATATTTGAGTAAGTTGATGAAAATAGGTATTTGTTATTTACAGCCGTTAGGCCTTGAATTAATTTAGCGCTAGAAGTACAAATATGAAACTACACAAGTTTTTAAGTACCGAATATGTCGACCCAAGTCTCTATTGCGAACGTTTTATCAAAAATATCACTCAATATGTAAGATATATTATGGAAATTCGGAGAGAATCCTTTTCTGATACTATTATGGCTGTGTATCAAAACTGGGTTGATTCAGATCAATTATTCCCATAGTGCCCATATACCTAATAGAATAATTTTCGAACTTCCGGCTGACTTTATACCTCATGTACCGGCCAATACGTAAGTCATCTTAATTAAATTGAGTGAGCAAATTTTTCTCTTAACAGTGAATCTGTGTGCTTTAAATAGATAATATCGGGTGAAAACCTGCACTAGGCTCCATATACCTGATAACAAGATTTTCAAACATCCTGTTGACTTTACTCCTTATATTAATGTATATTGCTGAGGGTATTTGAGGTACCTTATTCTAGTGTAGAATTTCAAAAAAATCCATTTTTTAGACATTTTACTGACTTGGCTCCAAACTGGTTCGGCTGGCTCTAATCGTA